CTGACCAGACTCATACTGTCTCTGTATGAATCATAATCACACTGACCAGACTCATACTGTCTCTGTGTGAATCATAATCACACTGACCAGACTCATACTGTCTCTGTATGAATCATAATCACACTGACCAGACTCATACTGTCTCTGTATGAATCATAATCACACTGACCAGACTCATACTGTCTCTGTGTGAATCATAATCACACTGACCAGACTCATACTGTCTCTGTGTGAATCATAATCACACTGACCAGACTCATACTGTCTCTGTGTGAATCATAATCACACTGACCAGACTCATACTGTCTCTGTATGAATCATAATCACACTGACCAGACTCATACTGTCTCTGTATGAATCATAATCACACTGACCAGACTCATACTGTCTCTGTGTGAATCATAATCACACTGACCAGACTCATACTGTCTCTGTGTGAATCATAATCACACTGACCAGACTCATACTGTCTCTGTGTGAATCATAATCACACTGACCAGACTCAGATACTGTCTCTGTGTGAATCATAATCACACTGACCAGACTCATACTGTCTCTGTATGAATCATAATCACACTGACCAGACTCATACTGTCTCTGTATGAATCATAATCACACTGACCAGACTCAGATACTGTCTCTGTATGAATCATAATCACACTGACCAGACTCAGATACTGTCTCTGTGTGAATCATAATCACACTGACCAGACTCAGATACTGTCTCTGTGTGAATCATAATCACACTGACCAGACTCATACTGTCTCTGTATGAATCATAATCACACTGACCAGACTCAGATACTGTCTCTGTATGAATCATAATCACACTGACCAGACTCATACTGTCTCTGTGTGAATCATAATCACACTGACCAGACTCAGATACTGTCTCTGTATGAATCATAATCACACTGACCAGACTCATACTGTCTCTGTGTGAATCATAATCACACTGACCAGACTCAGATACTGTCTCTGTATGAATCATAATCACACTGACCAGACTCATACTGTCTCTGTGTGAATCATAATCACACTGACCAGACTCATACTGTCTCTGTGTGAATCATAATCACACTGACCAGACTCATACTGTCTCTGTGTGAATCATAATCACACTGACCAGACTCAGATACTGTCTCTGTGTGAATCATAATCACACTGACCAGACTCATACTGTCTCTGTATGAATCATAATCACACTGACCAGACTCATACTGTCTCTGTATGAATCATAATCACACTGACCAGACTCAGATACTGTCTCTGTATGAATCATAATCACACTGACCAGACTCAGATACTGTCTCTGTGTGAATCATAATCACACTGACCAGACTCAGATACTGTCTCTGTGTGAATCATAATCACACTGACCAGACTCATACTGTCTCTGTATGAATCATAATCACACTGACCAGACTCAGATACTGTCTCTGTATGAATCATAATCACACTGACCAGACTCATACTGTCTCTGTGTGAATCATAATCACACTGACCAGACTCAGATACTGTCTCTGTATGAATCATAATCACACTGACCAGACTCAGATACTGTCTCTGTATGAATCATAATCACACTGACCAGACTCATACTGTCTCTGTATGAATCATAATCACACTGACCAGACTCATACTGTCTCTGTGTGAATCATAATCACACTGACCAGACTCAGATACTGTCTCTGTGTGAATCATAATCACACTGACCAGACTCATACTGTCTCTGTATGAATCATAATCACACTGACCAGACTCATACTGTCTCTGTATGAATCATAATCACACTGACCAGACTCAGATACTGTCTCTGTGTGAATCATAATCACACTGACCAGACTCATACTGTCTCTGTGTGAATCATAATCACACTGACCAGACTCATACTGTCTCTGTATGAATCATAATCACACTGACCAGACTCAGATACTGTCTCTGTATGAATCATAATCACACTGACCAGACTCATACTGTCTCTGTGTGAATCATAATCACACTGACCAGACTCATACTGTCTCTGTGTGAATCATAATCACACTGACCAGACTCATACTGTCTCTGTATGAATCATAATCACACTGACCAGACTCATACTGTCTCTGTGTGAATCATAATCACACTGACCAGACTCATACTGTCTCTGTATGAATCATAATCACACTGACCAGACTCATACTGTCTCTGTATGAATCATAATCACACTGACCAGACTCATACTGTCTCTGTGTGAATCATAATCACACTGACCAGACTCATACTGTCTCTGTGTGAATCATAATCACACTGACCAGACTCATACTGTCTCTGTGTGAATCATAATCACACTGACCAGACTCATACTGTCTCTGTATGAATCATAATCACACTGACCAGACTCATACTGTCTCTGTATGAATCATAATCACACTGACCAGACTCATACTGTCTCTGTATGAATCATAATCACACTGACCAGACTCATACTGTCTCTGTATGAATCATAATCACACTGACCAGACTCAGATACTGTCTCTGTGTGAATCATAATCACACTGACCAGACTCAGATACTGTCTCTGTGTGAATCATAATCACACTGACCAGACTCATACTGTCTCTGTATGAATCATAATCACACTGACCAGACTCATACTGTCTCTGTATGAATCATAATCACACTGACCAGACTCATACTGTCTCTGTATGAATCATAATCACACTGACCAGACTCAGATACTGTCTCTGTGTGAATCATAATCACACTGACCAGACTCAGATACTGTCTCTGTGTGAATCATAATCACACTGACCAGACTCATACTGTCTCTGTATGAATCATAATCACACTGACCAGACTCAGATACTGTCTCTGTATGAATCATAATCACACTGACCAGACTCAGATACTGTCTCTGTGTGAATCATAATCACACTGACCAGACTCATACTGTCTCTGTATGAATCATAATCACACTGACCAGACTCAGATACTGTCTCTGTATGAATCATAATCACACTGACCAGACTCAGATACTGTCTCTGTGTGAATCATAATCACACTGACCAGACTCAGATACTGTCTCTGTGTGAATCATAATCACACTGACCAGACTCAGATACTGTCTCTGTATGAATCATAATCACACTGACCAGACTCAGATACTGTCTCTGTGTGAATCATAATCACACTGACCAGACTCATACTGTCTCTGTATGAATCATAATCACACTGACCAGACTCAGATACTGTCTCTGTATGAATCATAATCACACTGACCAGACTCAGATACTGTCTCTGTGTGAATCATAATCACACTGACCAGACTCAGATACTGTCTCTGTGTGAATCATAATCACACTGACCAGACTCAGATACTGTCTCTGTATGAATCATAATCACACTGACCAGACTCAGATACTGTCTCTGTGTGAATCATAATCACACTGACCAGACTCAGATACTGTCTCTGTATGAATCATAATCACACTGACCAGACTCATACTGTCTCTGTATGAATCATAATCACACTGACCAGGCTCATACTGTCTCTGTATGAATCATAATCACACTGACCTGACTCAGATACTGTCTCTGTGTGAATCATAATCACACTGACCAGACTCAGATACTGTCTCTGTGTGAATCATAATCACACTGACCAGACTCAGATACTGTCTCTGTATGAATCATAATCACACTGACCAGACTCAGATACTGTCTCTGTGTGAATCATAATCACACTGACCAGACTCAGATACTGTCTCTGTATGAATCATAATCACACTGACCAGACTCATACTGTCTCTGTATGAATCATAATCACACTGACCAGACTCAGATACTGTCTCTGTGTGAATCATAATCACACTGACCAGACTCAGATACTGTCTCTGTGTGAATCATAATCACACTGACCAGACTCAATACTGTCTCTGTATGAATCATAATCACACTGACCAGACTCAGATACTGTCTCTGTATGAATCATAATCACACTGACCAGACTCATACTGTCTCTGTGTGAATCATAATCACACTGACCAGACTCAGATACTGTCTCTGTATGAATCATAATCACACTGACCAGACTCAGATACTGTCTCTGTGTGAATCATAATCACACTGACCAGACTCAGATACTGTCTCTGTTGAATCATAATCACACTGACCAGACTCAGATACTGTCTCTGTATGAATCATAATCACACTGACCAGACTCATACTGTCTCTGTGTGAATCATAATCACACTGACCAGACTCATACTGTCTCTGTATGAATCATAATCACACTGACCAGACTCATACTGTCTCTGTGTGAATCATAATCACACTGACCAGACTCGATACTGTCTCTGTGTGAATCATAATCACACTGACCAGAGACTCATACTGTCTCTGTATGAATCATAATCACACTGACCAGACTCAGATACTGTCTCTGTGTGAATCATAATCACACTGACCAGACTCAGATACTGTCTCTGTGTGAATCATAATCACACTGACCAGACTCAGATACTTCCTCACTTGCTCTGAACTCTGTGTGTGTGTGTGTGTTTTGTGATGATCAATGGTATCGATAGTTTTGTAGAGTCCATTAGAGCAGGTTATGTTGCTCTGTTGTGGCTAAACCCTCCATAGACTGTATCAAAGAATGTTTCTCGTGCAAGTCACAAACACACACAACACAGGTTGGACGCACACACACACTCACACAGGTCACACACACACACACACAAGTCACACACACACACCCCTGCTTTATGCAGAGGGCCTCGATCTCCTGCTGCAGAGATTTTTTCTATACAGAGTAAAGCTAGCAGGTTAGCATAGTAGCATTAGCATCTATATACGGCCTAATTAGAGAAATTAGCTTTAAAACAAATCTGACTTATGAAACTTACTCCCCCCTGTGTGGATGTGGTTCTCCTGGTCTCCCCCTGTGTGGATGTGGTTCTCCTGGACTCCCCCTGTGTGGATGTGGTTCTCCTGGTCTCCCCCTCCTGCAGGTGAGGATGGTGAAGGTGAAGCAGGTGGGGCTGTTGGCGGCCGGCTGTCAGCCCTGGAACAAAGACGTGTGTGCGGCAAGTGGAGACCGCTTCGCCTACTGCGCCACTCTGGCCATCTACATCTACCAGGTTTCAACTCCATGTAGACCCAGGACTGAGGCTGTAGATCCAGGACTGAGGCTGTAGACCCAGGACTGAGGCTGTAGACCCAGGACTGAGGCTGTAGATCCAGGACTGAGGCTGTAGACCCAGGACTGAGGCTGTAGACCCAGGACTGAAGCTGTAGACCCAGGACTGAGGCTGTAGACGCAGGACTGAGGCTGTAGATCCAGGACTGAGGCTGTAGACCCAGGACTGAGGCTGTAGACCCAGGACTGAGGCTGTAGACGCAGGACTGAGACTGTAGACGCAGGACTGAGGCTGTAGACCCAGGACTGAGACTGTAGACGCAGGACTGAGGCTGTAGACCCAGGACTGAGGCTGTAGACCCAGGACTGAGGCTGTAGACCCAGGACTGAGACTGTAGACGCGGGACTGAGGCTGTAGACCCAGGACTGAGGCTGTAGACCCAGGACTGAGGCTGTAGACGCAGGACTGAGACTGTAGACCCAGGACTGAGACTGTAGACCCAGGACTGAGGCTGTAGACCCAGGACTGAGGCTGTAGACCCAGGACTGAGACTGTAGACCCAGGACTGAGGCTGTAGACCCAGGACTGAGGCTGTAGACCCAGGACTGAGGCTGTAGATCCAGGACTGAGGCTGTAGACCCAGGACTGAGGCTGTAGACCCAGGACTGAGGCTGTAGACCCAGGACTGAGGCTGTAGACCCAGGACTGAGGCTGTAGATCCAGGACTGAGGCTGTAGACCCTTTAGATGACTAAACAGATAAAGGCTGTGTCCCTGTGTGCAGCTGGACCATCAGTACAATGAGTTCAAGCTGCGCTCCATCATGTCGGAGCATAAGAAGACCATCACCGCCATCAGCTGGAGCCCCGACAACCCCGAGCTGTTCGCCTCGGCCTCCGCGGACAACCTCCTCATCGTGTGGAACGTAGCCGAGCAGAAGGCTGTGGCACGCCTCGACAACACCAAGGGTCAGTCTGCAACTTGTGTCTGAGGGAGAGAGAACAGAGAGAGAGACCAGAGAGAGATCAGAGAGAGAGAACAGAGAGAGAGAGACCAGAGAGAGAACAGAGAGAGACCAGAGAGACCAGAGAGAGACCAGAGAGAGACCAGAGAGAGACCAGAGAGAGAGATCAGAGAGAGAACAGAGAGAGACCAGAGAGACCAGAGAGAGACCAGAGAGAGACCAGAGAGAGAGATCAGAGAGAGAGACCAGAGAGAGAACAGAGAGAGAGACCAGAGAGAGAACAGAGAGAGACCAGAGAGACCAGAGAGAGACCAGAGAGAGACCAGAGAGAGACCAGAGAGAGAGACCAGAGAGAGACCAGAGAGAGACCAGAGAGAGACCAGAGAGAGACCAGAGAGAGACCAGAGAGAGACCAGAGAGAGAACAGAGAGAGAGACCAGAGAGAGACCAGAGAGAGACCAGAGAGAGACCAGAGAGAGACCAGAGAGAGGCCAGAGAGAGACCAGAGAGAGAACAGAGAGAGACCAGAGAGAGAGACCAGAGAGAGACCAGAGAGAGAGAGACCAGAGAGAGACCAGAGAGACCAGAGAGAGAACAGAGAGAGAACAGAGAGAGAGAGACCAGAGAGAGAGACCAGAGAGAGACCAGAGAGAGAGACCAGAGAGAGACCAGAGAGCAGTGATGGGAATAACGGCGTTACTAGTAACGGCGTTACTAACGGCGTTACTTTTTTCAGTAACGAGTAATCTAACTAATTACTTTGACAGTAACTATAACGCCGTTATCATTTCCGACATCCCGTTACTGCGCGTTACTCAAGACGCACAGTGAACGTGTTGTCATGAGAGAAGGAAGGATGAGAAAACCTCTCAGCAATTATTGGCTGATGTAAAACATATTTCCTTTACAATCCACATGTCTACAGTTGAGAGGATGCTCATAAATTGTGTTTTTGAAACAAATATGGGTCTTAATCACACTCAACCACGGCTTCACCGTGAGGCCACAGAGGAGCTCATGTGAGTGCAGAAGGCTGCATACAATTCCATCGATAAGCTCCTTTCTCCTCCTGGTTTATCTGCTAAGGACAACAGCAGGTTTGGCAAACATACATATAACACATTTAAGATAATTTAAAATGCACTTAGGGTAATTTTTCAATTACTATAGGAATGATAAGAAAGAGAGGTGAAGTGTAAGACGGTTGGTTTTAGAAATTGGATGCACTCGGCTGCAGCAAAACAGAGGAGTTTATGGAGGACACACGCGTTTTGTTTTACTTTTTAAAACTCATTGGACTCATTTCCAAATGGAGGATTACATATCTACGCTCAAACCATTAACTAGATTTAAACAAGGAACTGGTCTGAACTGAAGTGGACTGTGCAGGTCATTTATAAGACCCATAACTCATAGTTTTGATTTCTATGATATATATGTTAATCTGATTGGGCTGAAGTCAGTGCTTGGTGTTTCCACATTCACAGTGGAGCGTGTTGGTGTTAAGTGCTTACAGCACAGAGACGGATGAAGAAAAACACACTTTTCTAGATGGAAATATTGGCACTATTTCAGACTCACTGAGGTTAAAGGTCAACATGTGCACGTCGAGTGCACATTATGTTCCAGAACAACACGAAAAAGTAACGCAGTAGTTACTTTTACTGGTAACTAGTTACTTTTATAAAGGAGTAACTCCGTTAGTAACTCAGTTACTTTTTGGGAGAAGTAACTAGTAACTAGTAACTATAACTAATTACTTTTTCAAAGTAACGTGCCCAACACTGCCAGAGAGAAAGACCAGAGAGAGACCAGAGAGAGACCAGAGAGAGAGACGAAAGAGAGACCAGAGAGAGACCAGAGAGAGAGACGAAAGAGAGACCAGAGAGAGACCAGAGAGAGAGACGAAAGAGAGACCAGAGAGAGACCAGAGAGAGACCAGAGAGAGACCAGAGAGAGACCAGAGAGAGACCAGAGAGAGACCAGAGAGAGACCAGAGAGAGACCAGAGAGAGACCAGAGAGAGACCAGAGAGAGACCAGAGAGAGAGACGAGAGAGAGAGGCAGCTGCAAGACTCAGTCCTCTGTGTTGCTGATGTGTGGTTGTCCTCAGGAGTGCCTGCCTCTGTGAGCTGGTGCTGGAACTGCTCGGAGGGTGTTGGGTTTGTGTCCCAGCGCGGGCCTCTGTTCATCTGGGTTTATGGAGGAGCAGAGTCTGGGCTCACGGTCCATAAAGAAGCTCACTCCTTCCTCTCAGACATCAGTCTGTTCAGATGGCACCGCACCAAGAAGAACAAGCTGGTGTTCGGACACACGGACGGCAGCCTGTCCATCTTCCAGCCAGGTCAGAGATAAGTCTCTCTTTCTGTCTCTCTCTCTGGTCTCTCTCTCTCTGGTCTCTCTCTCTTGTCTCTCTCTCTCTGGTCTCTCTCTCTTGTCTCTCTCTCTCTGGTCTCTCTCTCTTGTCTCTCTCTCTCTGGTCTCTCTCTCTGGTCTCTCTCTGGTCTCTCTCTGGTCTCTCTCTGGCCTCTCTCTCTGGTCTCCCTCTGGACTCTCTCTGGTCTCTCTCTGGTCTCTCTCTCTGGTCTCTCTCTCTCTGGTCTCACTCTGGTCTCTCTCTCTCGGGTCTCTCTCTCTCTGGTCTCTCTCTCTCTCTCTCTCTGGTCTCTCTCTCTCTCTCTCTCTCTCTCTCTGGTCTCTCTCTCTATGGTCTCTCTCTCTGGTCTCTCTCTCTGGTCTCTCTCTCTCTCTGGTCTCTCTCTCTGGTCTCTCTCTCTTTTGCTCTCTCTGGTCTCTCTCTCTGGTCTCTCTGGTCTCTCTCTGGTCTCTCTCTGGTCTCTCTCTCTCTTGCTCTCTCTGGTCTCTCTCTGGTCTCTCTCTCTGGTCTCTCTCTCTGGTCTCTCACTCTGGTCTCTCTCTCTGGTCTCTCACTCTGGTCTCTCTCTCTGGTCTCTCTCTCTGGTCTCTCTCTCTGGTCTCTCTCTCTGGTCTCTCTCTCTGGTCTCTCTCTCAGTCTGATAGTTGTGTGTTTCAGGCAGTAAGAGTCAGAAGCACGTGTTGCGCCCGGAGGCTCTGGAGGGAACAGACGAGGAGGATCCAGTCAGTGCTCTGGAGTGGGACCCGCTCTCCACAGACTATCTACTAGGTACAAGGACTTATCAGGACCCAGCAGGACCCACCAGGACCCACCAGGACTTACCAGGACCCACCAGGACTTACCAGGACCCACCAGGACCCACCAGGACTTACCAGGACCCACCAGGACCCACCAGGACTTACCAGGACCCACCAGGACTTACCAGGACCCACCAGGACCCACCAGGACCCACCAGGACTTACCAGGACCCACCAGGACTTACCAGGACCCACCAGGACCCACCAGGACCCACCAGGACCCACCAGGACCCACCAGGACCCACCAGGACAAATTTACCCGTTTTAACTTGGTCTGTCTTTGTTTCTGCCTCCCTCACTCTCTCTTTTTTCTCCCTCTCCCTCTCTCTCTCCCTTCTCTCTCTCTCTCTCTCCCCCCTCTTCCTGTCTCTCCCTTGTCTCTCTGTTTCTGCCTCCCTCTCTCACCCCTCTCCCTCTCTCTATCTCTATCTCTCCCCGCTCTCTCCCTGTCTACGCCTTCTCTCCCCTCTCTCTCAGTATCTAACTTACACAATGGGATCCGCCTGGTGGACACTGAGGCCCTGTCGTGTATCACTTCCTTCTGCTTCCCGTCCTCGGCCGCCTCAGTCCAGTGTCTGGCCTGGGTCCCCTCTGCTCCAGGAATGTTCATCACTGGAGGTGTGTGACATCATCACAGGTCACCACAGGTCACCACAGTGTGACATCACCACAGTGTGACATCACCACAGTGTGACATCACCACAGTGTTACGAGTACGATTTGTAAATGAGCTAGAGCCAGTTTCCTTATATGGGCGATCTCTCTGGTCTCTCTCTGGTCTCTCTCTGGTCTCCGGTCTCTCTCTGGTCTCTCTCTGGTCTCCGGTCTCTCTCTGGTCTCCGGTCTCTCTCTGGTCTCTTTCTGGTCTCTCTGGTTTGTCTCTGCTTTGCCACTGGTCTCTCTGGTCTCTCTGGTCTCCCTCTGGTCTCTTTCTGGTCTCTCTGGTCTCCCTCTGGTCTCTCTCTGGTCTCCCTGATCTCTGCTCTCTCTCTGGTCTCTCTCTGGTCTCTCTCTGGTCTCTCTCTGGTCTCTCTCTGGTCTCTCTCTGGTCTCTCTCTGGTCTCTCTCTGGTCTCTCTCTGGTCTCCCTGCTCTCCCTGGTCTCTCTGCTCTCTCTCTCTGGTCTCCCTCTGGTCTCTCTCTGGTCTCTCTCTGGTCTCTCTCTGCTCTCTCTCTGGTCTCTCTCTGGTCTCTCTCTGGTCTCTCTCTGGTCTCTCTCTGCTCTCTCTCTGGTCTCTCTCTGGTCTCTCTCTGGTCTCTCTCTGGTCTCTCTCTGGTCTCTCTCTGGTCTCTCTGCTCTCTCTCTCTGGTCTCCCTCTTGTCTCTCTCTGGTCTCCCTCTGGTCTCTCTCTGGTCTCTCTCTGGTCTCTCTCTGGTCTCTCTGCTCTCTCTCTCTGGTCTCCCTCTTGTCTCTCTCTGGTCTCCCTCTGGTCTCTCTCTGGTCTCTCTCTGGTCCATTGCTATGTGCAGTGTGGATGCAGGTTGCCATGGTGACCTGTGATGGTCTATGGAGGCCTCTTCTCTCTGAGTGTGAGCATAAATATTCAGATGAGATTCCAGCACACGACAGATGGCAGCGAGAAAGTCCCACAATACATCCCACTCCATTGACGACTGGACTGGACTGGACTGGAGTGGACTGGCCAGGTTATTTGTATAGCACAGTTCATACAGACCAGTCCCTGTCTGAGTTGGTTCATAAGGCAATAACATGTCACAGATGTACGTATATTTGGGAGGAGGTTTCTCTCACAAATTGAGAGAGAGAACTGAGGCTGTAGACCCAGGACTGAGGCTGTAGACCTTGGACTGAGGCTGTAGATCCAGGACTGAGGCTATAGACCTTGGACTGAGGCTGTAGATCCAGGACTGAGGCTGTAGACCCAGGACTGAGGCTGTAGATCCAGGACTGAGGCTGTAGGTCAAGGACTGAGGCTGTAGACCCAGGACTGAGGCTGTAGACCCAGGACTGAGGCTGTAGGTCAAGGACTGAGGCTGTAGATCCAGGACTGAGACTGTAGATCCAGAACTGAGGCTGTAGACCCAGGACTGAGGCTGTAGACTCAGGACTGAGGCTGTAGACCCAGGACTGAGGCTGTAGATCCAGGACTGAGACTGTAGACCCAGGACTGAGGCTGTAGACCCAGGACTGAGGCTGTAGGTCCAGGACTGAGTCTGTAGACCCAGGACTGAGTCTGTAGGCCGAGGACTGAGGCTGTAGATCCAGGACTGAGGCTGTAGACCCAGGACTGAGGCTGTAGGTCCAGGACTGAGTCTGTAGACCCAGGACTGAGGCTGTAGATCCAGGACTGAGGCTGTAGACCCAGGACTGAGGCTGTAGGTCCAGGACTGAGTCTGTAGACCCAGGACTGAGGCTGTAGATCAAGGACTGGGGCTGTAGACCCAGGACTGAGGCTGTAGGTCCAGGACTGAGTCTGTAGACCCAGGACTGAGGCTGTAGATCCAGGACTGAGGCTGTAGACCCAGGACTGAGGCTGTAGGTCCAGGACTGAGGCTATAGACCTTGGACTGAGGCTGTAGATCCAGGACTGAGGCTGTAGACCCAGGACTGAGGCTGTAGATCCAGGACTGAGGCTGTAGGTCAAGGACTGAGGCTGTAGACCCAGGACTGAGGCTGTAGACCCAGGACTGAGGCTGTAGATCCAGGACTGAGACTGTAGATCCAGAACTGAGGCTGTAGACCCAGGACTGAGGCTGTAGACTCAGGACTGAGGCTGTAGACCCAGGACTGAGGCTGTAGATCCAGGACTGAGACTGTAGACCCAGGACTGAGACTGTAGACCCAGGACTGAGGCTGTAGGTTCAGGACTGAGGCTGTAGACCCAGGACTGAGGCTGTAGACCCAGGACTGAGGCTGTAGGTCCAGGACTGAGTCTGTAGACCCAGGACTGAGTCTGTAGGCCGAGGACTGAGGCTGTAGATCCAGGACTGAGGCTGTAGACCCAGGACTGAGGCTGTAGGTCCAGGACTGAGTCTGTAGACCCAGGACTGAGGCTGTAGATCAAGGACTGGGGCTGTAGACCCAGGACTGAGGCTGTAGGTCCAGGACTGAGTCTGTAGACCCAGGACTGAGGCTGTACTGAGGCTGTAGACCCAGGACTGAGTCTGTAGATCCAGGACTGAGGCTGTAGACCCAGGACTGAGGCTGTAGATCCAGGACTGAGTCTGTAGACCCAGGACTGAGGCTGTAGACCCAGGACTGAGGCTGTAGATCCAGGACTGAGGCTGTAGACCCAGGACTGAGGCTGTAGACCCAGGACTGAGGCTGTAGATCCAGGACTGAGGCTGTAGGTCCAGGACTGAGTCTGTAGATCAAGGACTGGGGCTGTAGACCCAGGACTGAGGCTGTAGGTCCAGGACTGAGTCTGTAGACCCAGGACTGAGGCTGTAGACCCAGGACTGAGGCTGTAGACCCAGGACTGAGGCTGTAGGTCCAGGACTGAGTCTGTAGACCCAGGACTGAGGCTGTCCAGGACTTACCCATCTTACCTCTCCTCCTACGCTCTCCCTCCTCTCCCTCCCCCCCCCCTTCCTCCTCTCCTCCTCTCCTCTCCTCCTCCTACTCCTCCCCCCCTCCCCTCCTCCTCCTACTCCTCCCCCCCCCCCCCCCCTCCTCCCCTCCTCCTTCTGCTCCTCCCCCCTCCCCCTGCTCCTCCCCCCTCCCCTCCTCCCCCTCAGACTCACAGGTGGGAGTGTTGCGTGTGTGGAACGTGTCTCGCTCAACGCCTCTGGACAGTTTCAAACTGAAGAAGACGGGTTTCCACGCTCTCCACGTCCTCTACTCTCCACTCTCAAAGAAAGGTGAGGCTCATGGAAACTTTTCTGAGTCAGAGACAGGAGCCAAACTTCAGCCATGAGCACTTCTCTGTTGGGCTACATTGAGTTAGCAGGTTAGCGTTGTCCATCTGTGTACAGTCTATGGAACTTAACCAATTTCTTCAAAAGTGTTATAAGAGATACAAAATCAAAATAATACTTTTGTGGTCCCTCTCTCTTGTCTCTTTCTGGTCTCTCTCTGGTCTCTCTCTCTGGTCTCTTTCTGGTCTCTCTCTCTCTCTCTGGTCTCTCTCTGGTCTCTCTCTCTGGCCTCTCTCTGGTCTCTCTCTCTGGTCTCTCTCTGGTCTCTCTCTGGTCTCTCTCTGGTCTCTCTCTGGTCTCTCTCTCTGGTCTCTCTCTGGTCTCTCTCTGGTCTCTCTCTGGTCTCTCTCTCTGGTCGCTTTCTGGTCTCTTTCTGGTCTCTCTCTGGTCTCTCTCTCTGGTCTCTCTCTGCTCTCTCTCTGGTCTCTCTCTGGTCTCTCTCTCTGGTCTCTCTCTGCTCTCTCTCTGGTCTCTCTCTGGTCTCTCTCTGGTCTCTCTCTCTGGTCTCTCTCTGGTCTCTCTCTCTGGTCTCTCTCTGGTCTCTCTCTGGTCTCTCTCTCTGGCCTCTCTCTGGTCTCTCTCTCTGGTCTCTCTCTGGTCTCTCTCTGGTCTCTCTCTGGTCTCTCTCTGCTCTCTCTCTGGTCTCTCTCTGGTCTCTCTCTGGTCTCTCTCTGGTCTCACTCTCTGGTCTCTCTCTGGTCTCTCTCTCTGGTCTCTCTCTGGTCTCTCTCTGGTCTCTCTCTGCTCTCTTTCTGTTCTCTCTCTGTTATCTCTCTTTGCTCTCTCTCTCTGGTCTCTAACCTCTTTGCTCTCTCTCTCTCCAGCCCAGAGGGGGTGTTCTCCCAGTAAGACCCAGTACCTGAGTTCCACCAGTGAGGCAGTGCCACCTCCCACCCTGTCCCAGAACCAGGCCTTCTCTCTGCCCCCGGGACACGCCGTCTGCTGCTTCCTGGACGGAGGCGTGGGGCTCTACGACATGGGGGCCAAGAAGTGGGACTTCCTCAGAGACTTGGTACGGTATCTCTCTGGGACACACACACACACACACACACACAGACACACAGAGACACAGATACACAGACATAGACGCACACAGAGACACACATAAACACAGACACACACACACACACACACACTCAGACACACAGAGACACAGATACACACAGACGCAGACACACACAAACACAGACACACACACACACACACACTCAGACACACAGAGACACAGATACACACAGACGCAGACGCAGACACACACAAACACAGACACACACACACACACACACACACACTCAGACACACAGAGACAGAGATACACACAGAGACACACAGAAACAGACACACACACAGACACACAGACATAGACGCACACAGAGACACACACAGACAGACACACACACACACATATGCATACAAGTACAACAAAATAGATATTATCGGTCTTTTGTTGTTGTGTAACATGGCTCTCTGTGTGTGTGTGTTTGTGTTTGTGTTTGTGTGTGTGTGTGTCTGTGTGCATTTGTGTGCATCTGTGTGCATCTGTGTGTGTGTGTCTGTGTGCATCTGTGTGCATCTGTGTGTGTGCATCTGTGTGTGTGTGCATCTGTGTGTGTGTGCATCTGTGTGTGTGTGTCTCTGTGTGTTGTGTATCCAGGGCCACATCGAGACCATCTTTGACTGTAAGTTCAAACCAGACGACCCAAACCTTTTGGCCACAGCAAGTTTCGATGGTACCATCAAGATCTGGGACACCAGCACTCTGACCGCGGTGTCCACCTCACCTGGTAACGAGGGCGTGGTCTACTCTCTGTCCTGGGCGCCAGGTAAGAGAGACTAGAAAGACCAGAGAGCAGATGGTGTTGATAGAATTTCTTTCCTCTGGTGTTGATGCTATTCTCTCCTTTCATGGTGCAGGAGATCTAAACTGTATCGCTGGTGCCACGTCTCGTAACGGAGCCTTCATCTGGGACGTCCGGAAAGGAAAGATCATCACCCGCTTTAACGAGGTCCAGACCAGAGACCAGAGACCAGAGACCAGAGACCAGACCAGAGATTAGACCAGAGATTAGACCAGAGACCAGACCAGAGGCCAGACCAGAGACCAGACCAGAGAACAGACCAGAGATTAGACCAGAGAACAGACCAGAGACCAGACCAGAGACCAGACCAGAGATTAGACCAGAGACCAGACCAGAGACCAGACCAGAGACCAGACCAGAGACCAGACCAGAGACCAGACCAGAGAACAGACCAGAGATTAGACCAGAGAACAGACCAGAGACCAGACTAGAGACCAGACCAGAGACCAGACCAGAGATTAGACCAGAGACCAGACCAGAGACCTAACCAGAGACCAGACCAGAGAACAGACCAGAGACCTGACCTGAGACCCGACCAAAGACCAGACATGAGTCTTTGGTCGAGTCTTTGAACTAGCCATTAAAACCAGAGACCAGAATGAGACCAGAGAGAGACCATGGAAAGACCAGAAACCTGAGACCCTACCAGAGACAGTACTATGTGAGATATGAACCTTGTGTTTCCTGCAGCACGGGAAGAATGGGATCTTCTGTATCTCCTGGAGTCACAAAGATTCAAAGAGGATCGCCACCTGCAGCGGAGACGGATTCTGGTGAGTCTGAACTAAAGGAGCACAGGGACTGGCCTCCTGCTGGTCCCAGAGATTGGACTGAGGCTGTAGACCCAGGACTGAGGCTGTAGAATCAGGACTGAGGCTGTAGACCCAGGACTGAGGCTGTAGACCCAGGACCGAGGCTGTAGACCCAGGACTGAGGCTGTAGACCCAGGACCGAGGCTGTAGACCCAGGACTGAGGCTGTAGACCCAGGACTGAGGCTGTAGACCCAGGACTGAGGCTGTAGAATCAGGACTGAGGCTGTAGACCCAGGACTGAGGCTGTAGACCCAGGACTGAGGCTGTAGACCCAGGACCGAGGCTGTAGACCCAGGACTGAGGCTGTAGACCCAGGACTGAGGCTGTAGAATCAGGACTGAGACTGTAGACCCAGGACTGAGGCTTTAGACCCAGGACTGAGGCTGTAGACCCAGGACTGAGGCTGTAGACCCAGAACTGAGGCTGTAGAACCAGGACCGAGACTGTAGACCCAGGACTGAGGCTGTAGACCCAGGACCGAGGCTGTAGATCCAGGACTGAGGCTGTAGACCCAGGACTGAGGCTGTAGACCCAGGGCTGAGGCTGTAGACCCAGGGCTGAGGCTGTAGACCCAGGACTGAGGCTGTAGACCCAGGACTGAGGCTATAGACCCAGGGCTGAGGCTGTAGACCCAGGGCTGAGGCTGTAGACCCAGGACTGAGGCTGTAGACCCAGGACTGAGGCTGTAGACCCAGGACTGAGGCTGTAGACCCAGGGCTGAGGCTGTAGACCCAGGACTGAGGCTGTAGACCCAGGACTGAGGCTGTAGAATCAGGACTGAGACTGTAGACCCAGGACTGAGGCTGTAGACCCAGGGCTGAGGCTGTAGACCCAGGACTGAGGCTGTAGACCCAGGACTGAGGCTGTAGACCCAGGACTGAGGCTGTAGACCCAGGACTGAGGCTGTAGACCCAGGGCTGAGGCTGTAGACCCAGGACTGAGGCTGTAGACCCAGGACTGAGGCTGTAGACCCAGGACTGAGGCTGTAGAATCAGGACTGAGACTGTAGACCCAGGACTGAGGCTGTAGACCCAGGACTGAGGCTGTAGAATCAGGACTGAGACTGTAGACCCAGGACTGAGGCTGTAGACCCAGGGCTGAGGCTGTAGACCCAGGACTGAGGCTGTAGACCCAGGACTGAGACTGTAGACCCAGGACTGAGGCTGTAGACCCAGGACTGAGGCTGTAGACCCAGGACTGAGGCTGTAGACCCAGGACTGAGGCTGTAGACCCAGGACTGAGGATCTTTTTTCTTGGTCTTCTCTCCGCAGCATCATTCGAACCATCGATGGTAAAGTCCTGCACAAATACAAACATCCAGCTGCAGTTTTCGGCTGCGACTGGAGCCAGAACAACAAGTGAGTCCAGAGACCAGTTCTTCTCTAATGAACTCTGTCGCCGTAGTAACAGGGCCTATCTCCAGACCATGCTCTTCAGGACCAGAGCTGGAGGAGGTTCTCGAGTGTCCATATTTTTAGTGGCAGTGGGAACCTGTCACGACCAGAATTTGAACCCACAAACTTCTTTCTCAGAACCGAGCATAGTATACGTCCTTTTAAATATGAAATGCACTTTTAGCTTCTGACATCCCCTTTAAAGGAGTTCTGTGGATTGGACTGGAACCCACACTTTCTCTCTGACTTTATGGTGGTGCCTGTGACATCTGCCCTGGTGTCTCTCTCTGGTACCTGTGATAACCTCCCTGTCTCGCTCTCAGGGACATGATTGCCACGGGCTGTGAGGATAAGAACGTGCGTGTGTATTACTTGGCCACCAGCTCGGACCAGCCGCTCAAAGTGTTCACCGGACACTTGGCCAAAGTCTTCCACGTCCGATGGTCTCCGCTGCGGGAGGGAATCCTCTGCTCCGGCTCCGACGACGGGTGAGAGGGGAGGGAGGGGAGAGGGAGAGGACTGAGGCTGTAGACCCCAGGACTGAGGCTGTAGACCGAGGACTGAGGCTGTAGACCCCAGGACTGAGGCTGTAGACCGAGGACTGAGGCTGTAGACCCCAGGACTGAGGCTGTAGACCGAGGACTGAGACTGTAGACCCCAGGACTGAGGCTGTAGACCGAGGACTGAGGCTGTAGATCCAGGACTGAGGCTGTAGACCGAGGACTGAGGCTGTAGACCCCAGGACTGAGGCTGTAGACCCCAGGACTGAGGCTGTAGACCGAGGACTGAGGCTGTAGACCCCAGGACTGAGGCTGTAGACCGAGGACTGAGGCTGTAAACCCCAGTAGACCCGAGGACTGAGGCTGTAGACCCCAGGACTGAGGCTGTAGACCCCAGGATTGAGGCTGTAGACCCAGGACTGAGGCTGTAGACCGAGGACTGAGGCTGTAGACCCCAGGACTGAGGCTGTAGATCCAGGACTGAGGCTGTAGACCCAGGACTGAGACTGTAGACCCCAGGACTGAGGCTGTAGATCCAGGACTGAGGCTGTAGACCCAGGACTGAGGCTGTAGATCCAGGACTGAGGCTGTAGACCGAGGACTGAGGCTGTAGACCCCAGGACTGAGGCTGTAGACCCAGGACTGAGGCTGTAGACCGAGGACTGAGGCTGTAGACCCAGGACTGAGGCTGTAGACCGAGGACTGAGGCTGTAGACCCAGGACTGAGGCTGTAGACCGAGGACTGAGACTGGGACTGAGTGTGGTCCGGGCCCTGTGTGTTGCAGAACAGTGCGTATCTGGGACTACACACAGGACGCCTGTATAAACGTGCTGAGCGGACACACGGCTCCAGTCAGGGGCCTCATGTGGAACACTGAGGTCCCCTTTCTCCTCATCTCAGGTACCACACACCTGCAGCTGCCTTTAGCTCCATCCATGCTAATGCTAATGCTAAAGCTAATGCTAAATTCAATAATATCACATATTGTAGTTTGTCTCAATACAACCTCAACAGAATCAGAATTATCTATATTGCTCCATCCCTGCTAACGCTAATGCTAACGCTAATGCTAACGCTAAGGCTAACGCAAAGGCTAATGCTAAAGTCAACCCAAACACATGCCCTTTCCATTCTGTAGACCCAGTATTTAAAGCTGAGTGAAATAGCACTTACTGTAGTTTGTCTCCATAGAATCTGAATTGTTTTTTTTAGCTCCATCCCGGCTAATGGTCATTCTAGCGTTAATGCTATTGCTAACGCTAACGCTAACATTTTCCACACAGGCTCCTGGGACTACACCATTCGAGTTTGGGACACCAGAGACGGGACGTGTCTGGACACAGTCTATGACCATGGAGCCGACGTCTATGGTTAGAGTTGGTACCATAAACATCACACACTGAGAGAATACACATGGTTTTCATGTTTGTGATGCAGCAGCAGTAAAATCAAAGCAAAGATAAGGACCAGGGCTCTGTTTTTTGTACTCTACTCTGCTCTATTTTACTCTGCTCTACTCTACTCTGCTCTACCCTACTCTACTTTACTCTACTCTACCCTACTCTACTTTACTCTACTCTACTCTGCTCTACTCTACTCTGCTCTACCCTACTCTACTTTACTCTACTCTACCCTACTCTACTTTACTCTACTCTACCCTACTCTACTTTACTCTACTCTACTCTGCTCTACTCTACTCTACTTTACTCTACTCTACTCTGCTCTGCTCTACTCTACTCTGCTCTGCTCTACTCTACTCTGCTCTGCTCTACTCTACTCTCTACTCTGCTCTGCTCTGCTCTGCTCTACTCTGCTCTGCTCTACTCTACTCTGCTCTACTCTACTCTACTCTGCTCTGCTCTACTCTGCTCTACTCTGCTGCTTCTGCTCTACTCTACTCTGCTCTACTCTGCTCTCTGCTCTACTCTACTCTGCTCTACTCTGCTCTACTCTACTCTACTCTGCTCTACTCTGCTCTACTCTACTCTGCTCTACTCTACTCTGCTCTACTCTACTCTACTCTGCTCTGCTCTGCTCTGCTCTACTCTACTCTGCTCTGCTCTACTCTACTCTACTCTGCTCTGCTCTCCTCTCTCTCTCTACTCTGCTCTGCTCTACTCTACTCTGCTCTGCTCTACTCTACTCTGCTCTACTCTGCTCTACTCTACTCTGCTCTGCTCTACTCTACTCTACCTACTCTACTTACTCTACTCTACTCTACTCTACTCTGCTCTGCTCTACTCTGCTCTGCTCTGCTCTACTCTACTCTACTCTACTCTACTTTACTCTACTCTACTCTACTCTGCTCTACTCTGCTCTGCTCTACTCTACTCTACTCTACTCTACTCTACTCTACTCTACTCTGCTCTACTCTGCTCTGCTCTACTCTACACTGCTCTACTCTACTCTACTCTGCTCTGCTCTACTCTACTCTACTCTACTCTACTCTACTCTACTCTCTCTGCTCTGCTCTACTCTACTCTGCTCTACACTGCTCTGCTCTACCCCTACTGCTCTACTCTACTCTACTCTACTCTGCTCTGCTCTACTCTACTCTACTTTAGAGCTGCAACTAACGATTATTTTAATAATCGATGAATCTGTCGATTATTTCTTCAATTAATCGATTGAACGGATAAAAAAAAGCATTTTTAGTTTCCATCCCGTTATTAAAGACGTGGCCTTGGATCAACACAAAGAAACACACAGATGTGTGCTCTGCAGTGTAACACACAGATGTGTGCTCTGCAGTGTAACACACAGATGTGTGCTCTGCAGTGTAACACACAGATGTGTGCTCTGCAGTGTAACACACAGATGTGTGCTCTGCAGTGTAACACACAGATGTGTGCTCTGCAGTGTAACACACAGATGTGTGCTCTGCAGTGTAACACACAGATGTGTGCTCTGCAGTGTAACGTAAAGTGCACAAAAACAGGTTTTGTTGTTTAACCCAAAGAGCAAGAGCAAGACGTGTTTGTGTAATTAAGTCATTTTTAGGGTAATTGTTGTTGAGTGAATATACTCAACAACGTTTGAAATGTTTATTTCAAAAGTAACTTAAAAGTGACAGGAGAGAAAGACTTTCTGTAAATGACAGAATTATTAAGGATGGCCAAAGTTTTATGTAGGAAATAAGTGTACCATCTAATTAGCATATTATGACGTCATATGGCGTTGGAAACTGTGGATTTTAGACTTTTCAAAAAATGTGTCTCCCCCGCTCTCTCTCTCCTCTCCCCCGCTCTCTCTCTCATCTCCCCCGCTCTCTCTCTTGTCTCCCCCGCTCTCTCTCTCGTCTCCCCCGCTCTCTCTCTCCTCTCCCCTGCTCTCTCTCTCGTCTCCCCCGCTCTCTCTCTCTTGTCTCCCCCGCTCTCTCTTGTCTCCCCCGCTCTCTCTTTCATCTCCCCTGCTCTCTCTCTCCTCTCCCCTGCTCTCTCTCTCCTCTCCCCTGCTCTCTCTCTCCTCCCCCGCTCTCTCTCTCCTCTCCCCCGCTCTCTCTCTCATCTCCCCCGCTCTCTCTCTCGTCTCCCCCTCTCTCTCTCTCTCTCCCCCGCTCTCTCTCTCGTCTCCCCCGCTCTCTCTTGTCTCCCTCGCTCTCTCTCTCTCTCGTCTCCCTCGCTCTCTCTCTCCTCTCCCCCTCTCTCTCTCTCTCCCCCGCTCTCTCTCTCGTCTCCCCCGCTCTCTCTTTCATCTCCCCCGCTCTCTCTCTCGTCTCCCCCGCTCTCTCTTGTCTCCCTTGCTCTCTCTCGTCTCCCCCGCTCTCTCTCATCTCCCCCGCTCTCTCTCTCGTCTCCCCCCTCTCTCTCTCGTCTCCCCCGCTCTCTCTCTCGTCTCCCTCGCTCTCTCTCTCTCTCCCCCGCTCTCCTCTCTCGTCTCCCCCGCTCTCTCTCTCTCCCCCCTCTCTCTCTCTCTCCCCCGCTCTCTCTCTCTGTCCCCCGCTCTCTCTCTCGTCTCCCCGCTCTCTCTCTCGTCTCCCTCGCTCTCTCTCTCGTCTCCCCCGCTCTCTCTCTCTCCCCCGCTCTCTCTCTCCTCTCCCCCGCTCTCTCTCTCGTCTCCCCCGCCCTCTCTCTCTCCCCGCTCTCTCTCTCATCTCCCCCGCTCTCTCTCTCCCCGCTCTCTCTCTCGTCTCCCCCGCTCTCTCTCTCATCTCCCCCGCTCTCTCTCTTGTCTCCCCCGCTCTCTCTCTCTCGTCTCCCTCGCTCTCTCTCTCTCATCTCCCCCGCTCTCTCTCTCGTCTCCCCCGCTCTCTCTCTCCTCTCCCCCGCTCTCTCTCTCCCCGCTCTCTCTCTCGTCTCCCCCGCTCTCTCTCTCCCCGCTCTCTCTCTCATCTACCCCGCTCTCTCTCTCGTCTCCCCCGCTCTCTCTCTCATCTCCCCCGCTCTCTCTCTCGTCTCCCCCGCTCTCTCTCTCATCTCCCCGCTCTCTCTCTCTCCCCCGCTCTCTCTCTCGTCTCCCCCGCTCTCTCTCTCATCTCCCCCGCTCTCTCTCTCGTCTCCCCCGCTCTCTCTCTCTCTCCCCCGCTCCTCTCTCTCTCCCCGCTCTCTCTTTCGTCTCCCCCGCTCTCTCTCTCTCGTCTCCCCTGCTCTCTCTCTCGTCTCCCCCGCTCTCTCTCTCTCGTCTCCCCTGCTCTCTCTCTCCTCTCCCCTGCTCTCTCTCTCTCGTCTCCCCTGCTCTCTCTCTCCTCTCCCCCACTCTCTCTCTCATCTCCCCCGCTCTCTCTCTCATCTCCCCCGCTCTCTCTCTCGTCTCCCCCGCTCTCTCTCTCCCCGCTCTCTCTCTCATCTCCCCTGCTCTCTCTCTCTCCCCCGCTCTCTCTCTCCTCTCCCCTGCTCTCTCTCTCCTCTCCCCCGCTCTCTCTCTCGTCTCCCCTGCTCTCTCTCTCCTCTCCCCTGCTCTCTCTCCTCTCCCCCGCTCTCTCTCTCCTCTCCCCTGCTCTCTCTCTCCTCTCCCCCGCTCTCTCTCTCATCTCCCCCGCTCTCTCTCTCGTGTCCCCCGCTCTCTCTCTCGTCTCCCTCGCTCTCTCTCTCGTCTCCCCCGCTCTCTCTCGTCTCCCCCGCTCTCTCTCCTCTCCCCCGCTCTCTCTCTCGTCTCCCCCGCTCTCTCTCTCCCCGCTCTCTCTCTCATCTCCCCCGCTCTCTCTCTCCCCGCTCTCTCTCTCGTCTCCCCCGCTCTCTCTCTCATCTCCCCCGCTCTCTCTCTTGTCTCCCCCGCTCTCTCTCTCGTCTCCCTCGCTCTCTCTCTCTCATCTCAATTGACGCTGGATGTCAATGTTGACATCCAGCGTCAAAGCTCGTTGCTGTCTGACCATTTCTTGATCACGTTTGATCTCGCTTTGGAGGACTTTCCTGTCCCGCAAGATAAAACCATAATGAAAAGAACCTTAAATGATAAATCTATCACAAGGTTCAAAGAACTAATACAGCCTATGTTGAATACTGCTGCAGGTGAACCTGTTCACAGCTGCTGCAGTCCCTCAGTCATCGACCAAACGGTGGGCAACACTATGGAGTCTTTAAAATCTGCATTAAATGCAGCAGCTCCTTTAAAACAGAAAACCATTAGGATTAGATCATCGTCGCCCTGGTACAGTGTTCAACTCCACACTTTAAAACAGGACGTCAGAAAATTGGAGAGGCTATATCGCCACTCCCACTCGGAGCCTGTCCACAGGGAGTGGAAAGCAGGTCTCCGAAACTACAAGAAGGCCCTTCGCGGGGCTCGAACTCAATACTATTCAACTTTAATAGAAGCGAATAAAAACAACAGTAGATTTTTGTTTGGTACCGTCGCTAAACTCACAAACTGCCATAGCGCAATCGAGCCTAAAATTCCAAGCTCACTGAGCAGTGTCGACTTTCTCCACTTCTTTAATAATAAAATTACATCCATCCGTGACAAGCTGGAGGAGGTTGCTCCTGCTGTTAGTGGTGGACAGGTTGAAGCGGCATACGTGACTTCCCACTTAGACTCTTCAGTGGGCCTCGATAAATTCATGGCTGTGAGCCAAGCAGAGGTGATCTCTGTGGTCACATCCTCAAAAGCCTCAACTTGCATGTTAGACGCAGTCCCGACATGGCTCTTCAAAGACATACTTCCTTTGATAATTGAGCCTATCGTAAATATAATAAACGCATCCATACAATGTGGCTATGTCCCACAAGCTTTTAAAACCGCGGTAATCAAACCCCTTCTGAAGAAAACAAACCTGGACCCAGAAATACTTACAAACTACAGACCGATCTCGAACCTCACTTTTATATCTAAAATCCTGGAAAAACTTATAGCTGAGCAGCTCCGCTGCCACCTGCAGGAAAATGATATGTTTGAAGTCTTTCAATCAGGATTCAGAGCTCATCATAGCACTGAAACGGC